ATATAATATGTAGATATTTCATTGTGTGATTTCTATTTGAGATGATATATAAATATGTGATGTCTTAACTCTTATTAGTAAATCTTTGTTATTAATAGAATCAGACAAATACAGTAGATGGGTACATTGCTATAATTTTTTTTTTTTTTTGGTAATAGAGACTGAACCTTGGGCATTGTGCATGCTCAGCATTTGTTGTATCCCTGAACATTACCTCCCAACCTCCTGTATTACATCTTTATGGAGTCACTTGCCTGAGGGATGAGCCTATCAGAGTGGGGTGTCAGTAGATAGGCAGGCCCTAACACAATAGTAGCACAGGTTGAGCCTCACCTCCTGCCTTCTCAGCATTGATAAAGGTAAGACTCAGTGATAATTTATGTTTACTTCATACTTAATAATAAGGTGTTCCATGTTCTCAGAGAGCTTTTTGATTCATCACACAGAAATGAGGTATTAGTAATTTCATTGAGGTGTGTTTCATAAAGTTATGACTCAAAGAAAATATAAATATTAGAGTAACCAAAATATTAAATTAACATAACTCCCCAGATCCCATCCACTCTAGATCAGGTGAGCTGTTTCTTATACAGCGCATGGTATTATTGTGAAAAACAGACTCAAGACTGGCACACCCTATTACATCATCTTGCTCTTTGGTGCCACCTTGTGGACATATAGGGAGGAGCTGGGAGAAGTGGAACCTGCAAAAGAGCGCTGGGTCCTGCTGCTGCCTCAGGGAAGCACCGACTTCCCTTTCAGTTTTCTCGCCTTTCAGGTTTTGTTGTTGTTTTTGTGAAACAGGGTCTTCCTGTACCCAGCTAGCATGGATCTCGCTATACAGATCAGGCTCACCTTCATCTCAGAGATCAGCCTGCCTCTGTGATTAAAGGCGTGTGCCACCACACGTGGCACCTTTCAGTTTTGTTTTGTTTTGTTTTGTTTTGTTTTGGTCTTTTTGAGACAGGGTCTCCCCGTAGTCCCAGCTGACCTGAACTCACTATGTAGACCACGCTGGCCTTGAACTCACAAAGATCCGCCTGCCTTTGCCTCCCAAGTGCTGGGACTAAAGGCGTGCGCCACCACGTCCGGCCAACCTTTCAGTTTTTAACCTCAGTTTTTCTCTCACTGGCTAGAGTGCAGGTAGGCATGACATTTGTTGTCATTTCACGTTCCTTTTAATTCATGTGGAGCACTTCATCCGCTTTAAGGTAGTTTAGAAGGTACCAGGTACCAAATGCTAAAATTCCTAAAAAAAACTCTGTGCTGAAGAATCAATATTTTGCTTTGTGTTTTACTTCTAGTCTGATTTTTTTTTTTTTTTTTGTCTTTTTTGAGACAGGGTCTCCTTGTAGCCCCAGCTGTCCTGGAACTCACTATGTAGACCAGGCTGGCCTCGAACTCATAACGATCCACCTGCCTCTGCCTCCCAAGTACTGGGATTAAAGGCGTGCGCCACCAAGTCTGATATTTTTATAAACTATAATTAAAACGAATTTCTAGAGAAATTACATAAAATCAACATGCCAGGTGATGCATGTTGTAATCCCAGCACTTGAGAGGCTAAGGCAGGAAGAGCACAACCTTGAGTCCAACCTGGGCTACATAGGGAGGCAAAGCCATCTTATACCTACTAAGACCCTGTCTCAGAAAACAAAACAAAGCAAAAAGATGTACAAAATACAAGCTAACTTTTGTGCCTGTGTGGTGGGGACTGAACTCAAGCCTCATGCATGCTGAGCTGGTGCTTGATCACTGAACTCTGCTCTTAGCCCCCTTTTTAAAAATTATTAGATTTAACAGATACACAGTAATCAAGTTAGTTAAAACTTCTCGGTTTCTCTCAGTCTCTTCTTAGCTGGTAGCAGGCATTCTGAACCATTTCTGGCTCATGGCCCATGCTGAGTGTCAGTGCACTAGATGACAACTTTCAGGGTGTCTGCAACAGGATTGTACATATTTGTGGGCCTGGGATAGGAAGCATAGGAAACCAAAGCCTGATGAGAGTCAAGAATAAGCAAACAAGTATAATAAGAAACAAATACTATGTAAAAATCAATACTCCTAAAATCATATCTGCACATTAGAAAGTAAATCATTTTTTAGGAGCACCATAGGTATTTTTATTAGCTGTGAGACTATTGCTGCCCATCTTTCTTTTTTTTAAACTTCTACAAAAACTTTGAGAATTTCATATATGCATATAAGGTGTTTTGATCAAATCCATGCCTACTCCCTCCCTTCCAACACCTCCCATATCTCTGCATCACTTTTTCTTTTTCTTTTTTTTTCTTCTTTCATTTATTAATTTTTATGGGGTTTGGGCGTTTATGAGTTTATTTTATTTACTGTCACTAAAAATCAGTTTTCACAAAGGAAGGTCCACTGACTCAGAACATCAAAACTATCTGGAGTGCTTATAAAAAAGCATAAGCCGAGACTGGTAAAATCAGCATCTACAGACATGGACATGGAACACAGGGATTTATTTACATTTTAAAAATAAATCTCTCTTCTCCCCTCCCCCAAGTAATTCTTAGTAATTATGAAAATTTAGTTGTGTGTGTTTTAAATTACATTTATTAATTTGTGTGTGTGTGTATGTGTGTGTGTGTCTGTGTCTGTGTATACATATACATGCCATAGCACATGTCTGGATGTGAGAGGACAACTTGTCAGTTCTCTCCTTCTAACGTGTGTCCTGGGGATTGACCTCAGGTTGTCAGGCTTGGTGGCAAGCATCTTTACCCACTGAGCCATCTCACCCACCTGTTGTGTGTTTTAAACAAATGATGAAATGAAACAATTAACTATACTGTAATTTTTTCTCTAGTTATATCAGAGGAAGAAAATGAGCTAGGGCTCTTTTTAAAGTTTCAAGCAGAACGGGATGCAACTCAAGCTGGCAAAATGATGGATGCCACTGGCAAGGCACTCTGTTCTTCAGCCAAGCAAAGGTTCACCACAATTTTTCATCATCCTTAAATCTGTAGTCAGTATGACAGTTCTGACCTATGTGCTATGTTTGCATATTTAGAAAAAGAAAGGTCACTGATCATTCTAAGGCATTAAAGAGAAATGTATTGGGGTATATAATTGTTTGATGCCTAACTTTATTCATTTTTATTGAAAAATTGCTTCAAAATAGATAATCTTGGCTGCCTAATTCCTAAAACTAGCTTTTAGGACTATATTTCTATGTCTTAAATGGTCTAATATAATGGAATCACAGAATGGATAACATTTAAAATATGTGTATCTCTACTTTTTTCTACTTTGCCCCTTTTTTGATGGTGCTGACACTCAAAACCAGGGCCTTATGCTATACCCACCTCCAGTTCTTCACTTTTTTGAAATTATACTATCTGTAGCTACATTAAAACTATTCTTTTTTTTTTTTTTTTTGTTTTTTTTGGTCTTTTTGAGACAGGGGACAGGGTCTCCCTGTAGCCCCAGCTGTCCTGGAACTCACTATGTAGACCAGGCTGGCCTTGAACTCAGAGATCCACCTGCCTCTGCCTCCCAAGTGCTGGGATTAAAGGTGTGCACCACCACGCCCGGTCCAAAAACTATTCTTTTTAGGTGGAATTTTTCTTCTTAATTATATACTTTCCACTTATTTCAGTTTGTAGCATAAAAGCATGCATTGCAAAGACTATCCTGTATACAATTACTAAATATAGCTCAAATCCTTGTATTCCAGAGGAAAAGAGAAAACAGACCTTCTCAGGCCTGTAATGTGATGTCTGGGCTGGGTGGCTTTACTCCTCAGCCCTGTATTAGTGCAGAAATCCTTCTTGAGGAGCGAGCCAGAAAGTGCAGGGCCCTCCAAAGCCATTCTCAACAGCAGCGTCAAGCAGCTGGATTTGATTTGTGCTTCTTAAATGCTTGTTTTCCTGTTCTTGTCTTGAGCTGTTAAGGACTACTCATTAGTTCTAGCCTTTTTTTTTTTTTTTTTTTGAATCAGGCTCTTACTATGTAGTCCTGGCTGACTCAATGAATAGACTAGGCTGAACTTGAACTCACAGAGGTCCTCTTGCCTCTGCCTCCTGGGTGCTGGCATTAAAGGTGTGCATCACCACACCCAGTGCTTACTTCTAGCATTTTCATCTACTCTTTTAAACCCAGGTTTTCCATAAACTTGCCAAATGAAATGCCTTCTGTGAACTAGGTTATGATTTATGAATGCAGGTTCTTTGTTACCCTTAGAACTCTTTCTAAGTGGTAGATGTGCCTGGCAGGTTATTTATATGTGGATTAACATACAAAGTGCTGCAAATTTATGTTTCCTAAAGTTAAAAGGGGAAGAACTGAAGAAACATCTTTACCAGTAACTCAAAGTCTGCTTTCTAAATCTTACATAAGTCAAGTATTTCCTACTTGTAGACTCATCTTTATAGTAAATACATATTGCAGTTGGTCTGAGCCCTTGTTTATGAATGTACAATCCTCTGATTTTTACCTCTCTGCTATTAGATTGGCCTTGTGCACTCCTCTGTCTCGTCTTAAGCAAGAAGTAGCCACATTCAGTCAAAGGGCCATTTCTGATACCTTGATGACAATTAATCGAATGGAGCAGGCGCGCACAGAATACAGAGGAGCTCTGCTGTGGATGAAAGATGTATCCCAAGAACTTGACCCAGATACCTTAAAACAAATGGAAAAGTTTAGAAAAGTAAGACAGTGTATCATTTTCCCTCTCTTTCTACTAAATATGGAACTAATGCAGAATAATGGACATCATAAAATATTGGGCTTTTTTAAAAAGATAGACTCTCATTGTATGGCTCAGGCTGGGTGGGGATGCTTGCATGCCACTGCACCCTGCTCTGACTCTTTTTTGAGAAATATATTTTACTATAAATTCTTGGTTGCTTAGAGATTTTGGCTAGCATACTCTTTGATTACTCTTTGAATAGCATCTTGCCCTATCACCTAGTCTCTATTTTAATCTTCTTAATAATAAATCTAATCATATTTTAAATATTGGTTACCTAGAGTTTTGGATTTTATATACAAAAGAGAATTATTTATTACTAAAGGGAAAATACATAATTGCTTAAGATAAATTATCTAAAATGATTATTATGTCTAAGAAGAAAGTATAGGATATCAAATTTTTCATTCTGCTACAATACCTCAAACCTCATAAGCATGTTTTCTTTGTAATTAAACTTATTATAAATTATATCTCCTAGGGATGAATATGCAGCTCACTGATAGAGCTCTTGCATAGCACACCAAGGTCCTGGGTTCTATCCCCAGCACTGCAAAAAATACATATACATATGTTATGTATAAATATATATCCCTAAATTTATTATATTTGGGTATTAAAATTCACCTACTCATTCATTTCATAAGTATAACCTATAATAAAGCCACAGTGTTTAATGGAACTTGCCCTGTGCCAGCTATTTAAGTTGTTTGCCTCACTGATTACTCTCAACAACCCTGTAAAGTAGGTGCATGCTCAACCTCAAGCAAGAGCGCCTCTTACTTCATCCCCAGTGAAATCCTTGACAATAAAATTCAATCTATTAGAGTGATGAATAGCACTGTGAAAGTGCTAAATGCCACCAGATTGTACATTTTCAAATGATTAATTGTATATTGCATGAATTTTACTTTAATTAAAACAAGGCAAAAAACTTTCAGCAGCCTTGCATGCTCTGACACCTGATCCCCATACAGCCCCCTCTTGTTCCTGCTTCCTGTGCTCCAGGAAGGATGTGCTCTACCTGTCCCTTTCTCTTCAGCAAACATGACAAGTGCTTTGTCTTCCTGCTCCCAGAACTTGTGTCCTTGCCTGGAATACTCTCCCCAAGGGTCTCGGTGTGGTCTGCTCACCATCTTCCTGTCCAGTTTAAACATTGCACATAAGCTCTCCAAGGGCCTCCCTCTTCATTTTATTTAAAGTAGTCACCCAGGGGCTGGAGAGATGGCTCAGTAGTTAAGAGCACTGGCTGCTTTTGCAGGGGATTCAGGTTCAATTCCCAGCACCCACATAGTAGCTAACAACCATCTATAACTCCGGTTCCAGAGGATTCGATGCCCTCTTCTGACTTCTGCAGGCACTACACAACACAGGTGCACCTACCTACATGCAGGCAATACACTCATACACTTAAAATAATAAAAAATAAATTAAAAAAGAAAAGTAGTCACTTTTCACATATTTGGTATGTTTACACCTGAGATTATCACATATTTGTTTATGTTTTTTCTTGTTCACCTCTTTACCTGATGATTCAGGTGGGGAAGAACATTTGTTTTGTTTACCACAGTGTTTCAGTGCCTAGAATAGTGCATTGTGTATAATAGATAACTTGTAAATGTTAATTGAGTCAATGAATGAGTAAACATTTTTAAAAGTTGGTGTTCATGTTGTCCAGTGATGTATCAGTCTATATTTAAGAAGTAAATTTAGGGGCTGGAGAGATGGCTCAGTGGTTAAGAACACTAGCTGTTCTTGCAGAAGACCCGGGTGGCACCCACATGGCAGCTAACAACTGTCTGTAACTCCAGTTCAAGGGGATCTGGCACAACACCAGTGCACTTACCTCCATGCAGGCAATACATGCATACACATAAAATAAAAATAATAAATAAAATATTAAAAAATAAATTTAAAGTAAATTTAAACTTATAAATATCTCCATGATTCAGAAATATTAATATATCTCAACATTTTGACTAGGTCTCCTTTCTATATTAAAAAAATCTTTATTACATTAAAAAATTTATTTACTTAATGATTGATTGGTTGATTGATTGATTGATTGATTTGTGTCTATGCATGTTATGGAGCTCAAGTGGGAAGTCAGAGGACAGCTTGCAAAAGCTGGTTATCTCTTCCATCACATGGAAGGCTTTGGTGGCAAATGCCTTTACTGACTGACCAATCTCATTGACCCTTCCATTTACTCTTCTGCTCTTAACTAAATCCTACATATATTCCTGAACATCTTGGATGTTCGTTTTTTATCTGGCATTCTTTTTTTCTTCTTTTTTAAATTAAAATTTTTATTTTATGTATATGAGTGTATTGCCTGCATGTATGTATGAGCACCCATGTCATGCAATGTCCAGGGATATCAGAAGAGGGCATTGGATTCCCTGGGGCAGTTGTTAGCCATCATGTGGGTTCTGGGAACCGAACTCAGGTCCTCTGCAAGAACAGCCAGTGCTCATAATCACTGAGCCATCTCTCCAGCCCCTCTTTTTTCTTCTAAACTATCTAATTGCCATTTTTCATCTCGTATTTTCTCAGCTTAAACATATCTATTAGGGTGGGCATGGTGACACATGCCTTTTTTAAAAAACAGGATGTCTTTTTTAAAAAATCATTTTTATGTATATGAATGTATTGCCTGCATGTGTGTAAGTGCACCTGTGTTGTACAGCACCCACAGATCTCAAAAGAGGGAATTGGACTTCCCTGGAACTGGCTGTTGCTGCCACTTAGGTGCTGGAAATCAAACCTGGAACCTTTGCAAGAGCACCCAGGGCTCTTAACCACTGAACCATCTCTCTGTCCCCTGAGCCAGCCAGGGTTACATAGTAAGATCCAGTCTCAAATAAACAAACAAGCAAAAATAGATTAACACTCTAATAACTATTAGAGTATTGGCCAGATAGCTCAGTAGGTAAAGGTGCCTGCTGCTAAGCCTTGATGACCTGCAATCCATCCCTGGAACTCATAGTGGAAGGAGAGAACCAGTTCCCACAAGTTCCTCACATATGCATACACACACACACACACTCCCTCCATAAATAAATATTTGTTTAAATGTTAGCTATTGGATGCCGGGCGTGGTGACGCATGCCTTTAATCCCAGCATTTGGGAGGCAGAGGCAGGTGGATCTCTGTGAGTTCAAGGCCAGCCTGGTCTACATAGTGAGTTCCAGGACAGCTAGGGCTACAGGGAGACCCTGTCTCAAAAAGACCAAAAAAAAAAAAAAGTTAGCTATTGGAAAGTTAGCAAAAACAGCCCAAATCTCCATAATTAACCATGGGGTGATAATGATACAGAGAAAAGGAACTATTTATTACAATTTCATCTGTCTGGAAACATCTATTTCAACCTGTATGTTATGTTCCTATCTGTGGTATTGATAATAATGAACATTTTGTGATTACAGGTACAGATCCAAGTGAGAAATAGCAAAGGTTCTTTTGACAAATTAAAAATGGATGTCTGTCAGAAAGTGGATTTACTTGGAGCTAGTCGCTGCAATATGTTGTCTCATTCACTCACTATCTACCAGGTACCCACCTCCATGGTCAGCATGTCCTTGCAGTAAAGATGAGTGGTGAGATTCCTTTTTAAAAGTTGTCTAAAGGGTGCAAGAAAACTTATATAATTTTTTTTGGTCTTTTTGTGACAGGGTCTCTTAGTAGCCCCAGCTAGAACTCACTGGCCTAGAACTCCCTATGTAGACCAGGCTGCCTTGAACTCACTATGTAGGCCAGGCTGGCCTCAAACTCACAGAGATCCACCTGCCTCTGCCTCCCAAGTGCTGGGATTAAAGGCATGCACCACCACGCCCGGCAAAACTTATATAATTGATCAGATACCTTTGACTTTGATGTAACTGATCCCTTGAAGTTATGACAGAATCATAAAGCTCTAAACTGAAAAAAAGACTTAGAAATGATCTTCTCTTCTGGTTTTGCATTATTCTCCCTGGGGTCCTAACAGGGAAAGGGACTTAGGGATCTTCTGAGGTTGAAAAGGGGAAGGTGAAGAGGTAAAATTCAGGACCCACTAACCAGAGCTGCTGAATTTCTGGTTTTGAACTTCAACATACATTTTCATCTGAAGCATTGATACTGTGGGCCCAGCCCACAGGTATAGTGGTTCATGCTGCTAATCCCAGCACTCCAGAGGCAGAGGCACTGAGAGCTCAAGGCCAGACTCTGTCCCCAAACTAAACAAAACAAGAAAAAAATACCATGGTCCAGAAAGTTTGAAAACTTTTCTGTCATGTTATAGATGAAGAATGTGGAGCCAATGACAGTTCAAGTAAATGGCAACACTGGACTTCAGAACAAATCGGGCCATGTGTTCTTTGCCTTTTTCCAAGTTGCCATCCTACACAACTTTAACCTCAGAAGTCTCACTTGTGTTTATATTACCCTCAAATCACACATAAGTGCTCTACAATAAATAAGTTAGAAATTTACAAGTAGCAGTTGCTGACTTTAACATGTAACTAGAAAAACTTTATTTGCATAAAGAATAAAAAGTGAAAGTAAATGGTTATTTAATGCTGGTTTTAAGGAATTTACCTGGTTCATTTTAATACTATAGAATTTGAGAATGTCCTTGAAATAAAAGCATTTGACTAACTGTATATTCTAACAACTCTTAGTTCAGTCCTCTTCTACACTCTCCACTCACCCCCATCTTGGAACAGGAACCTTAAAGCAACAAGGAAGATTGCCAATTAGTTGAATTACCTTAAGAACACATTTTTTGGGTCAAGCTTTTCTTGAGCCCTTAGTGAAAAGTCAAATTTAATTATAAATATTTTTTCCTGTAAAAAGATGCTTAAGGGCTGACAAGATGGCTCAGTAGATAAAGGCACTTGCCACCAAGCCTGACCATCTGAATTTGATTCCTGGAACCCACATGATGTAAAGAGAGAACCAACCCTCATAAGTTGTCCTCTGATCTCCATAAGCATACCATCACACACACACACACACACACACACACACACACACAAAAATGCTTATATATGCTTACTGACATAGAAATTACACACATGCCCCTTCTTCTACAGAGAGTGTGTTTTTATGCCTTTGATGTTTCTCTTTTGGAATCAAAAACCCCCTGGTTTTCTTTCCTAGCTGCAGTCACTCTCTGGGTGACTACTGGTTCCCCGTACTTGGATAGTTGGATTAGTTCTTGCTTCTTACTCAACAGTATACTAGTAAGGATATTCAGCACTGAACAGCTCTTAGAGGGGGGCAGAACTGTAGTGTTGCCTTTTCTTTTTCTTCAGAGAACGTTGCTTGGATTCTGGGAGAAAACAGCTCAAATGATGTCCCAAATCCATGAGGCCTGTACTGGCTTTCATCCATATGATTTTGTAGCTCTCAAGGTATGTTTTCCTCATATTTTCTTCTTTGTGTGTGTGTGTGTGTGTGTGTGTGTTTGAGACAGGGTCTCCCTGTAACCCCAGCTGGCCTAGAACTAGCTATGTAGACCAGGCTGGCTTCAATCTCACAGAGATCCACCTGTCTCTGCCTCCTGAGTGCTAGGATTAAAGGCATGCTCCAACCTCCCTCCCCTAGTCTCTTATTTAGATGTATTGCACTTCATTTGGATAACATTGAAACTGTCTATTCCTAAGCTTATTTTCAAATTCATAAAATATTAGGAAACATTTTTCCCCACTCCTTCAGCTAAGGATCAATACTTTTTAGGTCTAAAAGCTGTCAGTAACACTAAAATACAAAGGAATCTTGCAGACCAAAAGTATTAGTATAATAGAGGAACTGGGAAGTGAGAAAGTGAAAAGAAAACTAAAATGCACAAGTGATACGGGCTAGAGAGATGGCTCCACAGTTAAGAGCACTTACCCCTCTGGGCAGAGGACCCAAGTACTATTTGCAGCATGCACATTGGGTGGTTCACAACCTTCTGCAACTCCAGCTCCAGGTGATCCCACAGTGCCCTCTTCTGGCCTCCATGAGCACCTGCATTCAGTGCACACACACATACACACACACACACATTTAAAGATAAAATTTTTTTAAGCTTTATGGAAAGCAAAGTTAATCATAAATTTCTTTTTGTTTTTTTTGTTTGTTTGTTTGTTTGTTTGTTTGTTTTTTGTCTTTTTGAGACAGGGTCTCCTTGTAGCCCCAGCTGTCCTGGAACTCACTATGTAGACCAGGCTGGCCTCGAACTCACAAAGGTCCGCCTGCATCTGCCTCCCAAGTGCTGGGATTAAAGGCATGTGCCACCATGCCCGGCCTAATCATAAATTTCTTTAATGCACAAGATATATGAAAACCTGTTGAAAGGAAAAAAATTTAAGTAACAAATAATGGAAAGTAGTCAGGGATTCTAAAAAAATGGCCAAACTGCCCACCCAGTAATTTCAGAAGCTTAAGGCAAATTTCTTTTTCGCCTTTACATTGATGTCACAGATGTGGTCCACAGTGCTCAAATTATGCAGTATGGCCATTGTGAATGTGGCTGCAGCTGAAGAGATGAACTCTTCTGTAGCATGAACATATGGAAGTGCTCTTGGGTATAATTACAATACTCTTCCCATTGGCACAGCTTCCAGTCACATCTTTGCACATGAGATACCATCTTTAATCCCAAAAGCTGCCCTTGATTTAAGCTAGGTTTTTGTTTTCTTTTTTCTATATTACATGCTTCAGTGAATAGCATATTATGTGCTTAGGCAAATTTTGTGCCTAACTTCTCAGAATTGAAAGGGAATATCTCAGCTGTGTTAGAGGGTTACAATGCAGGCTAGCAATGCAGCTTGTTTTCTCTGGGCCTGCCACAAAGTTGTGAACCTTTCTCTAGCACTCATCACTGTGTGGTCCCCACAGGCAGCAGGATAGGGTATGTATGGGGTCAGTCCAAATTACAGTAACACACATTCCCATATCTCTTACTCTCTAGATCAGAAATCTTCCTATTTATATTCTTCTTTATAATTTTTATTCTTTTGTTTATAGAAAGAGAGAAATGGTCTTTCAGTAGATTTAATATTGAATTTCTTATCCTTAGAGACTACAAGATACTTCAGGCATGCTTACTACAGACCACAAAGAAGAACAAATAGGAGGCAGCTGTCTTACAGAAAACCTCAATAAGTAAGCAGGCTAAAGCTACTTACAGTGCTATGGAAGTCCTGGATGCCATCCTATAATACATGTGAAAATAGTTTATCTTTTTCTCTCTGGTTTGCTGAATGATTACTATGTCATTTTCTAAACAATACACACATTTGTTATATTTTCCACTTTTATTGAATTTTTGTGCCAACAGAGCCTGGAGGTAAACCAGAAGCCTCCCCTTACCTTCTGCAGTATTATAATCCCAATCAGGCCGGGTCAGTGGATAAGCAGCATCAATCAGTGTCGGGTCAGTAGTAGGGACACTAGTATTGCCAGGAATTGATTTCCTGGCTTCTGTTTGGATATGTTCCCTTTCTTCTGTGGTAAACAGGACCTGTAATAATTGATGACAATCATCCCAAGCGGGTTGGTGTGTGACTAAGACAGTTTCTAATAAATTAATAAGCTCCTTAGGATTTTTAGAAAAGGGAGAATTCTGGGTTCTCCAGTTGTAAAGGTCACTAGTGGCAAATGGCTAATAGTGATGGGGCTGGTTGCCAGCCTCATCCGTGGGGCTGGCGACTCTGAGGGGTAGAACAGTAGAGTCTGGACCCTCCAGTGTTGCTGCCCTTCTACTCCTAGTCCCCTAAGCTGGTCCCCCCTGTGCCTATGAAGAATCTGGTACCAGGGGTGCTGGTTCTGGAGGGGGTACCTCCTATGGAGGAGGTGGATAAGGAGGGAGAGGAAAAATTAGATCTTCTTCTGTGCTGCCCTGTAAGACAGGGTACAGTGACGGTACTGATGGTTTGGTTTCAGGCTTAGGTGCTTTCTGGGTTGTTCTGAAGCTGTCAGTACCTCAGTTTTCTGTAAAGGAAGAAAAGACTTGACCCAAGTGGGGGGGTTATTAACTAAATCTCCCCGGACCATTATGTATGATATTTGATCCAAGTGTCCCACACATGGTTGAAGAATAATTTTCTTAACCATGTTAATGACAGCGGGATCAAAGGTCCCTTCTGAGGGTCATCCCACATTGAAAGTGGGCCATTCAGACCTGCAGAAAGTAATTAGTTTATTCTTCCTGACAACAACAGAGAGGTTATGGGCTCACGTCTTAACCTCTCCAAAATGTGCAAAAACCAGGTCCAGGGGTGTAGGGGGGGTCTGTCCCATTGAGCCCGTCTCAGTCACAGAGAAATAGACAACCAGAGACAAAACAGAGAGCCAAAAAGACACACAGAAGGCCAAGTAGCAAATTCCCTTGCTCGTGCGGAAGAAAAACTGAAAGTAGGACAGCGGCGAACTGCTGCACCATGGGAGCGACCCACCTTGTCCTTTCACAGAAATCAACAGAGTCTGGGGCCCTCCATCCCCTCTGTCAGAGTCTGGAACGTCTCCCAGACCTCTGTGGTCACCATCATCCAGCGCATCTGCTCCAACCACTCCTGACCACACTGTTCACAAGTTTTCCTCGAGGCTCAGAATGAAAGCTAGGACAGACACAGACAGGCACAACTAGAAACAAACAGACACTTACCAGCTGGCCAGGAACCCTCCGGTTTGGGGGTCCTGGTGGTCTTGGGGATCCCGGACAAGCCCCCAAGATGTTGTGCCCAGTTCATGAGACCCCAAAGACCACCAAGGAGCCGACCGATGCAAACACACAAGGGTTCTTTTATCGTTACAAGCTTAAGCTTGGGCCCACTCTGTCACCTACCCAGCGGATCTCAGAAGTGAGACCCCTTGCTTTGGGAGACAGAGGTTTTTGTAGGTTTATTTCAGCAAGTTCAGCAAGTAGGGGACAGGGGGTCTCCAGCCTGGCAAGCATCTGATTGGTTGCAGCCCAGTGCTGAACCATAAACTGCTGGCTTCAGGAAATCTGAAAAGACATCTGGACTTCTAGTACTTTCCTGTCCCTAGTTAATTGACCGTTGGTGGGGGAGTTGTTCTCTATCCATTTCAAGTATACTTTTTTTGTGTGAGTGGTTTCTCCTGCAAGAGGGCTCAGGGCTGGGTCAGTCCCATGGAGGTTTTATCCAAGATGGAGTCGCTCAGGTCTCTCATTGTTTGCCAGTAGTTCCTCAGCTAGGGCTGGGATTTCTTATCCATTTCCCCATGTCTATGCTGAGATTTTGTCTGACTTGGGCTTACATGGGAGTTGTGCATGCTGTCACCATTGCTGTGAGTTCATATGAGTAACTACCTAGATATCTGGAAAACTCTATTTCCTTGTGGTCACCCACCTCCTCTGGCTTGTACAATCTTTCTGCCCCCTCTTCTGCAATGATCTCTGAGCCTTGGGAGGCAGAAGTTTGATATAGATGTCCTATTCAGAGATAAAAAGTCTGTAGTCTCTTATTATCTGCAGGTTGGCCAGTTGTGGGTCTCTGCATTTTCTTATTTTTAGGCAAAGCAGATGACACATTGTGGTGATTCCTCCAGATTCTGTCATTTTGGAGACATCATTGCATTGAGAGCCACAAGTGACCACTTGTAGTGATGCTTGGAAGGAACATCAGGAGAAAAGACAGGGCCAGGAACCAGCAGCTGTTAGAAGTCTATGTCCAAACAGCACAGATGGGACTGGGCCTTGAAAATAAAGGCCCTTGCCATGCACATCATGTTTCCCCCTATTCCAGCTACCCTTTGTTTCCCTTCCAGAGCACTGCTCAATTCTCACTTTAACCAAACTGATTAAAATAGCAGGACACTTGAAGCAAGGCCCCTGAAGTAGCAAATATTAAGTAGAAGGTAGTCCTAAATAGAAGTTCTTTCTCTGTTTTTCTCTAGTAGAAATCCAAACCAGATTTTTGGCTAACTTGAACATATCAGTGTTTTAGGATTAACATTTGTCAGATATTTAGTATAAATTAAACTTATCTTAGTTAAAGGTTGACATTTAAAATCATGCTAAGTGAAAAGTTTTTTTCATTATCACATGGAAGTTTTGCTGAAAATCTCATGTATCTTCAATATCATGAGAGCTATTTTTTTAGTTAGCTAACAGATTCCCCAGCTTCTCTTCCATCCAAGTTGTTTAAAATATCATGAGTATACTACCATTAGAAATTTCATTCCAAATTATAAGTATTTGTGCTATAGATTTCTTTTTTAATCAATTTTTTATTATTTTTATTTTATGTGTATGAATCATGTACATGAGTGCACCCACATCCTGCAATGCCGCGGAGGTGAGAAGAGTGTTTCAGATTCCCTTGGAACTGGAGTTAAGGACAGTGCATAGCCATCATGTGGGTGCTGGGAATTGAACCCAGGTCCTCTGAAAGAGCAGTCAGTGCTCTTAACCACTGAGCCATCTCTCCAGCCCCTGTAATCGATTTTTATCCTTTTTTTTTTTTTTTTTTTTGTCTCTTTTGAGACAGGGTCTCCCTGTAGCCCCAGCTGTTCTGGAACTCACTATGTAGACCAGGCTGGCCTCGAGCTCACAAAGATCCGCCTGCCTCTGCCTCCCTAGTGCTGGGATTAAAGGTGTGCGCCACCACACCCGGCCCTGTAATCGATTTTTAAATCAATACTGTATTGGTCTTTGTCTTTAAAGACATATTAGAACCAGCCTTTGATATAAGAGTTATGAAGTCATGCCCAAGAATAATGCCTAAATCTCTGTTTTTACCTCACTCTTTGATTATTATATGGGTTCTCTAAATCAGCCCACTTGATAGATACTATACATATCTAAAGTTAGTATTGATTGAAGATATTTTAGGCTGATGCATCTTCTGTCTTCTTTTATAAATATCACTTTATTATTCAAAATAGAATGCCTGTGCTCGCTTGGTAGCACATACACTAAAGCTGAACCTATACAGGGAAGATTAGCATTCCCCCCCCCCACACACACAAGGATGGCATGCAAATTCATGAAGCATTCCATGTGAAAAGAGAGGGGGGAAAAAAGAATGCCTCTTTTTGTTTGGGGTGTTTTGTCCCCTTCTCTTTTTTTGGTCTTTTTGAGACAGGGTCTCCCTGTAGCTCCAGGTGGCCTGGAACCTGCTATGTAGACCAGGCTGGCCTCAAACTCACATAGATCCACTTGTCTCTGCCTCCCAAGTGCTGGGATTAAAGGCATGTGCCACCACACCGGGCCATCCCCTCCTCTTTTTTAGTTCTTATGTGTGCTTAAATAAAACCCCTCAATGCTTGAAAATGAAGATGGTAAAGGGTATCATTTATCCAAAATGCTTGTACAAGTGTTTCAGTTTTCAGACTTCAGATTTTTTTAGCATATTTGCATAAACATAATGAGATATCTTAGGGATGGGACCCAAGTCTAAACATAAAGTTCATTTATTTCCTATATATCTTATGCATCCAGCCTAAGGTACATTTATACCATATTTTATTTATTTTTATTCCATATTTTAAATAGTTGTGTGTATAAGACTAAAGTTCCATGATATAGAAACTTGGGTTTTTTTGTTTTTGTTTTTAATTTTATGTGTATGAGTGTATTGCCTGCATGTATGTGAGTGCACCTGTGTCGTGCAGTGCCGAGGAGGTCAGAAGAGGGCGTTGGATTCCCCTGGAATTGGAGTTAAGGATGGTTTATAGCCACCATGTGGGTGCTGGGAATCGAACCCAGGCCCTCTGCAAGAGCAGTCAGTGCTCTTAACCATCTCTTTAGCCCCCATGATATGAAAACTTGTAATATCATCTTGGTGTTACAAAGTTGTAGAGCATTTTGGATTTCGCATTTTCAAATGAAGAATAATCAACCTTGTATTTGGCACAGTGCTTATAATGTTGTTGTCCTGAGTTAATGTTTATCAGAATAATCAAGGATAAAAATAAGATTAAGGGTTTCCACAGTGTGTACAGATCTGGAGAAGAAAGAAGTACTCTGTCATAGATTTGAGGAGTTCTACCCAAGTATTATGTATCTCCTGAGAAAAACTGAATTATATGAAACTGGGGACTATGAACCACAAATGTATTTTAACTAAAATCTGTGCATTTTCTGGTTTTTGCCTTAGGGTAGCTTTGTCAGAAGAAGAGAGATTTGAAAGAGAACCAGGTAAGATGGGAGATTCATTCCATTGAATTGGCCATATTTTAAATGTCACAACATTTTATCAAACTCTTTAAAAAGTTGTGTTAACGGTATTTAAAATAGCATCACTTTATAAGTCCATTCTGTATGCTTCTCAGTTATCTTCCTAATGGTACCTAGTTGGAGGCTCTGGTAGTTTATGTGTGTATTCGTGTGGATATACGTGCATGTGTATATGTGTGAGTGTGTAAGCCTGCAGTCAACCTCAGATCCATCTACCTGATTTTGAGGCAGGGTTCTCACTGGGGCCATGGACTCCACAATTCAGCTAGAGTGCCTGGTCTGTCTACCTCTCCAGTGTTGGGATAACAGGCACACACTGCCACACTTGACATGTTATGTGGGTTCCTAACTTCCCTCCTTCCCTCCCCCTCTCCCTCCCTCCCTCCCTTCCTCTCTCCCTCCCTCCCTCCTTCTTCCTTCCTTCCTTCCTTTCATGTCCTTGAACATTTTTAGTAGCATGATAATGCCTATCAACTTATCTTTTATGTACTTCTGTTTTGGTGACCAAAATCACAAAGAAATACATTTTCAGACTGAGTATGGTAGAGCATACCTTTAATCCCAGAGGCAAGTGGATCTTTGTGAGTTTGTGAGATCAAGACCAGCCTGGTTTACATATCGAGTTCCAGTCCAGCTGGTGCTACAAGGAGACCCTGTCTCAAAAAGAAAAAAGGTTTTCAAATAAGAAAATTTAGAGGACTGTTTTCTTTTTTGATTTATTTATTTTTATTTTCTGTGTATGAGTGTTTTGCCTGCATGTATATAAGTGCATTCGTGTTGTACAATGCCCATGGAGGCCAGAAGAGAGTGTCAGATCCCCTGGAACTGGAGTTACAGGCAATTGTTAGCCACCATGTGGGTGCTAGGAACCAAACCTGGGTCCTCTGAAAGAGCGGCCAGTGTGCTCTTAACTGCTGAGCCATCTTTCCAGCCGTTTTTGGCTTTTTTGAGACAGGATCTCACTGTAGTCCCAGCAGGCCTTAAAGGCATTTGCTACTAGGCATGGCTGAGATCTCAGTTTTCTAACTCTGAAAATGGTAAGAAATTCTCTCTCCCTCCCTCCCTCCCTCCCTCCCTCCCT